CTAAGTGGGCGTGTCTAACTACTGAGTGGGCGTGTCTAACCCCTGAGTAGGCGTGTCTAACCAATGAGTAGGCATGTCCAACTACTGAGAGAGCGTGTGTAACCATTGAGAGGGGGTGTCTATCCACTGAACGGCAATGTCTGAGGCCAAGGGCCTTAGGATGCATGGAATAAAACCCAGGGTATATCCTCGTACACCCTTGATTGAACCTGGATGACCCCAATTATTCAAAGTGGGGGTATAAAAATGTAGCCTTCTCTGAAAAAGATCAAGACATTTTGATTTATCTCAGGTTTATTTACATTTTATGTACAACATTTTGTCAAATGCTGCCTTGTGGAGGTTACTTTTCATAGATCAACAAATGTTTATGACTGGAATTATAATCTGTCAAGTTATAGTCTACTTTATTTTCTTTTTTTAAGTGACATATCTTGAAGAAACTGAGTTATCTAAATCAACATAATTTTTGCATCATCATACAATCAAAGTTTTTATCATAATTATTTCAAAAACAATTCTAGAAATTGAGCAAACTTTACAATGAGAAAGATTTTTCTAAGTTGTAAGAACTTGTTACCATTCCCTTTGTATGAATTATACAATAAAATATGTTCAAAACAAACAAAACAGAGTCAGAGACTGATGAAGAATGAAATTTAAACACAAAATTCATTCCCTTTTGTGCTTTAAAAGCATTTAATTTACAATGTTTGTAATTTTTGTAATTTAAGAGAAAAAGAAATTAAAACAAAAATCTTATAATAATGTAAATCCTTTAACATGAAATTCAAGTTGACACAAAGAAACTGACTTTGATTTTAAAAAATGCCCCATCCTCCCCCCTCCCCCTAAAAAAAAGAAACCCCAAGAAAACAAACATATAACTGTTTTCCTGTTACCAAAACAACTGACACAGTTTATTTTTTTCTTTACAACAACTAAGAAGAATGGGTGGACTTAACACCCTATTTTGGATCTTTTTGCGACGCCTTCTCCAAGCTGTAAATGAAGTGAATCCAAAATGTATTACAAGCAATGGAAAGAGCTATTTATACAAAATCAATGCCCTGCTGCCATGTATCAAAATTGAAGCAACGGTACATAAGTGTCGTCTTCCGGAATTTGGGATGTACCCGGAGTGGGTTTTAGGTCACATAATCAATATATATAGAAGGCAGGGCTATCGATCCGCGACATTGTTAATACCTCTCTCTCTCTCTACTCTCTCTCTCTCTCTCTCTCTCTCTCTCTCTCTCTCTCTCTCTCTCTCTCTCTCTCTCTCTCTCTCTCTCTCTCTCTCTCTAAAAATTCGAATACAGTACGTGTTAAGCATTTTACAGCGATGTCAAAATGAAATTATTAAAAAAGTTTGGTGACACACAAAATTAAAACAAAATGTAATTTGCTTCTAAAAGCGGCAACCAAACAAGCTCAAAGATATGATTTACAAAGAAGTCAGGTAGAAGAATACAATGTCACGAGTACACTCGCAGGTGGACATCAAGTAATATTTTGTAATATTTAACAAGTAAATCCCAATCATAACAACAATGGAAGCGAGAAGTTTGTTTTCAACATGTTTTTTTTTTTGTTAAATTAAGTATGAGAGCACATTTGTCGGCACTTCTTTTAATATAACATTATTTTGTCCAATATACAACTACAGTTTTCTTAAGAACAGCCGACAAACATGCGCTGACAATATGTATTCGGACGATGAAAAATGCGTGACCCTGATTATCTATTGACATTCAAAAAATCTTCAAGCACCATGCTTTCGACATTTACTAGTATTAAGCATACCCAAAAAAAGAACGTTTTATATTCCCATCTGTACCATGAAAACACGGTTGAGGTTTTGGGGGCTTATATGATGGAAAAAAAATATTTTATGAAAATTAAATCTACGGCAATTTTTCTGGCCAGTTAAGTCCACCCATTCGTTCATAAATTTTTAAATACAAGAAATAGTTTTGTGATAGAAGAATCCTACCTCCTTAAAAACTGTTTTCTGCTTAAAATATCTCCAAATGGGAGCCCAATTTTTTCATCATTACAGGAAATATGAACAAATCGATTCATATTACATCTATTCAAATTCTTTTGATATAGCAGCCTGTCCGGTTAGATTTATTGATTGATTGTATACTGTTTTACGTCCCGCTCCAGAATATTTCACTGATATGGAGACGTCACCATTGCCGGTGAAGGGCTGCAAATTTAGGCCTATGCTCGGCACTCAGGGCCTTTGAGCAGGGAGGGATCTTTATCGTGCCGACACCTGCTGTGACACGGGGCCTCGGTTTATACGGTCTCATCTGAAGGACCGCCCCATTTAGTCGCCTTTTACGACAAGCAAGGGGGTACTTATAAGAGGACTTTTTCTGGCACAAGCATATTACCTATGATCATTTTATTATATCTTTATATGGAAAAGGGTTATCCCAATGATCATTCATGGGACCCGGATCCTAGAGCATCTCCTCTTGGTTTCGGGAAGTAAGAAGTTAATCCTTATCTCATGGGTTCGAATCCCACTGTGGGACTTAAAGGGTTCAAATCCCACTGTGGGACTTAAAGGGACATGGACACAGTTTCAACTGAGTTTTTAAAACCAATTTCAATGCTTGCAATTTCTAAAAAATCATTATCTAATGATCAGCAAAAATTTTAACATCATTTATTGATTAACATAAACGAAAGAGATACAGAACTTAAAGTTCTAGAGAATGTAAACAAGGTTCGTGTTTTGTTTTTTGTTTATAAGTAAAAAAAATATATTTATAACAAAATGAAATTCAGCAAATCACTAGAAATTTTATAACAGTAAATATTTACATTTTCAATGTTTTTTGGTCCGAGATAAAATTACCAAATGTAAATGTACTTCATTTCTCCATCAATGTATTGGCGCAGTTCCAAAAAAAAAAAAACACGTGCAGGGCGGGATAAACAGCAAGACAGAAGCAGGGTTTGGAGCACGTGGATTGGCGGAATCAAAGCATGTAAATATTAGGAATAACTGTCAGATTTTTCAATTTCATGAAGATGATCAATCGATCGGCTTGCGTGATAATTTAAGGAGGCTAGGGGGTCAACAAATTGTTTTTTTTAATAACAACCAGTTATAACTTAAGTTTGGGGATATGATATCTTTAGCTGTCAACTATCATTTGGCAAAGAAAAATTTCATAAATTTTAGTTTTTTAAATTTGATCATTTTATTATATCTTTATATGGAGCACTTCTTCTAAAGGAGATCAAAATAGTCTAAAATTGGCCACAACCATCCATCCTCTTTAATGCATAGACGCCGAAGGCGTTAATGATAATTATCTCGCAAGCCAATCGATTGATCACTTCATGAAATCGAAAAAAACTTACTTTATATTATATAAAAAAGTACATAAAACTCATTTTCTCTGAAATACATCTCTAGTTTCCATGCACATACGTCACCATGCTATGTATATTAAGTAATTACTGGCCACTGAACTGGACAAATATAAAAGAGGAAAACTAGAAACGCACACTATTTTATCAATATTTATAAACACACAATGAGATATTGTATTATTGAAACGCGCAAATTAGTGTGCCGAAATTTCATCCATCAAAACAGACTCGGTTGATTAGCCTGAAAGTATAAATAACCTAAACGTTTCTCGTCATACCCATAGGTACCTGTTGTTTATGAATTATTATGTAACGTAATCCAAGATGTCTGTTGTCCTTTTATTTAAAAAAAAATGCACATCCTTTTCCATAAGTCACAACGTGATCATACCATGTGTTCTTTATTTACAAACGGTGCTAGGCCAAATCGTTCATGCATAAATTCTATAAAACCGGAAGTAAAAGTATCTTTCTCTATATACGTCACAAGTCACATGGTGTGGAGGACCCTTTATCAAACATATATTAGTATATTAATCAATGTAAATAAAACATGGCACGAACTTTGTTTACATAACCAAGGTTTGGAGCTCTAAATCTGTCTTGTATCTCAACAAATGAAGTTCAAATTTTTTTATGACCATTAGAAAGACCCTAGTTAAATATTTTTCTAGCTGAACTGTGTCTATGCCCCTTTAAAGACAGGTCATACAGATGAGATCAGTCCTTTAGATGAGACCGTATTTAAACCGAAGTCCCGTGTTATAGAAGGCGCTAGAACGAAAAAGATCCCTCACTGCTCAATATGCCTACATATAAATTTATGGACATACATAATGCAATTACTGAATATGTCAAAATTTGTCTAGTATCAATTCACTTAAAGTATAATTAATAAATATATGAAGATCTGTGATTTTAGAAAAATAATTGATGGATGTATATGGACAGGTACAGTATACTGGCATTGTTATTCCCGTGAGTCCAAAAAAAATCGTCTAACAGGTCGAAAAAAAATATTCAGTATATTGATTTGATTGCTGATTCACATACAGATGGATCAACAAAGTGACCCTGTCCTTATTCACTGTCGTTTCAGTGAGCTTGTCAACATTTTAAGCCCCAAGGTTTTCAGTAGAGGCCCAAAGAGGCATGTAATTACATCCGCGTATATTTTTGTACTATCTTAAAACATTCTGTCATTTAGTTGAAGCATGTTAGATATAAAGTACACAATACATAAGTAAAATAAAGTAAACATATTGTCACAAGCAACAAAGTAGGATCATAAATCTGTGTACTAATAAGAATATAACATACGAGTATATTCAAATAAACAAGTAACATTTTGTAGTACTTTGATCCCACTGGATATTAAGTTTACAATACAAAAGCAAAATGAAATGAACATATCAACACAAGCAACAAAGGTCGATCGCTAATCTGTGTTTTAAAAATATGCAATTGTGAATGAACATATTCCCTTCTTGTCCGACACTTCCATACAAATTTGAACTTTTGCAGCTACTCTAAAATAGGTACAAGCAGTATAGCATACACATTCACTCTAAAATAGGTACACACAGTATAGAACTCTCCAGCACTCTCCATTCTTATAAGATTAAGTGAAACAAGCAATTCTTTAATATTCTACACAATAACCTACAAGCTCCTAATCTGTAGCTCCTTTATTACGGTTGATTACTGTTTTACTTCTTGGACATTTCATTTGATTGTCTCTAAACCTGTTTGGATTTTAACAATTCTATAACATTATACTTTCATGTAAATTGATTGATTTTGATTAAATGCTATACATTTGTTAAAAGCACTATTATCCGATTAATGATGAAGCCATTATCTCCAACGTAGCAACGGTAACATTGCTTGACTACGGGTGATATTCCATAAAAATAGCGACTGCACAGAATTCATATGCACAAGGCCCACTGTTATTGAATTTTGTCTGAGAGTTGGACGCCAAACTCATGTTTCCTTGAAAATGTTATAAAGATCTGTCCTTTATTTTGGTAAGCCTTCTTTCCATATTCTTCGGTTTATTTGCATAGCTTCCTTTCAATTTCTTTAATATCTAGTAATAGCTGGCTAAGAAGCACATAAAATGTCCAGTTTCTCACATTAGGTTCAATGTTTTGAGCACCATGATAATTGTAATCCCAGTGGAATGCTTTTTGGTAAGTCCGTCCTTATTCATCATTATCAAACAGTTCCCCATCCAGAACATATTTAATCATCAATTTTATATATGGGGGCCATTTAAAAGCGTCTTTTAAAGTCAGAGGGGAAGTAAATCCTGTTTAATCCTAAGAATACCTTAGCGCACGATTCTGAAGGCTGTCTATAGGTGCGAAACTATTGAAACTCTATAAACAGAAAAGTTATTGAAAAGGAATACAAAACATATATAGAGTTATGAACCAAATATCATAAGCATTTTCGTAGTGACTACTAGTCTCTTTCTAAAATTTTGATTTTTCAGGGATAAAAATCATGATTTCTATATTGCTTCACACTTGATAAAAACTGATTTTCAATTTTGTAAAAGTTAAAGTCACTCTGCATATGTTCGATGCATAAAAAGTTGACTTTGGGCAGCACTGCCTGTCAGCATCAATTTTGATTTAAATTTTTTCACATCTAACTTATCTGACATTAATTTTTGCATACTGGACATGAATTTCTCCAACATATGTTGTTCCAATTTTTCTATGATTGCTGAAATAGCATCTACATCTAAAGCCATTATAAATGGTATTAATGTTATCCAAGTCCTTTTTTACAGTGAATTTTTGGCAGATATCCGACATTGTCAACAGAGTGTTATTGGATTCTGTCCGAGAGCAGTCAATCTATTTCTGATTGACCTAATTCTCTGGATATCCAGCATTGTGTTATGCACTGAAAGGTTTGGAGGCTATCAAATTCAGTCAAATTCATTTTGTATTGACCTAATTCTCAGGATATCATCACCCACTGTCACCTCTCATGCTGCTGGCTCTTTTCCCCCTTTTTTGTTGGTTTACGGATCTTTGAACAAATGTTTCTTTTCAACTTGTGTGTAAATGAAATATCAAATTCCTCATATATCCACATGTTTCATATCCAGTTTGTAATTATAATTAAGCTTATTCAAAGACTTTAACCAATGACTCTTTCAATATCTTCAACCAGGTGTTAAAGAATTCATTATTTACTAGTACTGAAAACATTCTATGAGTAAAAATTATTATTTCTGAATGGTTCAATTCTTCAAATTCGTTTTAATGTCCTCATTTGAGATTTTAATTCTTGAACATCTGACACGACTGTCTTCAACAGTTCACGTTGTTCGTGTTGATCCTTGACCAACAGTTTATGTTGTTCATGTTGATCCTTGACAAACTTTTCTATAATAGCTTTAATTGCATCTTCACCTCCTTCTTTTAAAGTCAGTTTATAAATGCTATTAAGGTTGTCCAAGTATTTCTTCCCAGTGAAGGTTTCCAATCTTTGGCAGATATCAGACATTGTTGTCCAGGTGTCATCGAATTCTCTCTGAGAGGTGGAGGCTGATCTCACGTGTGCAGTCAAACTGTTTCGGATGGACCTAATTCTCTCGATATCATCACCCACTGTCACCTCTCCTGCTGCTGGCTCTTCTCCCCACTTTCCTTTTGTTGGCTTAGGGATCTTTGAACAAATGTTTCGGATTAATGTGTATGTTAATGAAATGTCAAAGTTCTTATATCCCAAATGCTTAGCATCTAGCAAGAGTTGTTCTTGCTCTGGGCGCAATCTTTTGTAAGCTGGAGATGCTTTAGCTTTCTTTTCAATATCGATTGGAGGCACTTCCATCTCTAGTATATCTCTGTATGCCTGATTTAACACATCGTTTGTTGCCATTCCAAGTTTTGCGAATCTTGATCGTCCCTCAAGGTCATGTCCACCAGAGGCCACTGGAGTTTTAGAGACACTCATTTTTGTCTGAAATAAAATTAAACTTTCTTTAAAAAAATTGATAAGTTAATTTATGCATATAGAAGTATAAAGATCAAAATTGTGTACCAATTTTATTAAAACAGATAAAGTCCATAATGTATGATTTTTTCAGTTAGTTAAATTTAATATTGTCATGATGCTATTTGAGAGATTAAAGGGATTTTACAAATATAACATTTTTTTTATCAGATCAGGCAACTTTTAGGTGAAATGGGTGGCATTAGTTCTAGGTCATGTAAATAAATAAAAGAAAACCTGAAATAATATCCATTACTAATATTTTATTTGGAAAAAAAATTGAAGGAACAGATTGATAGACAAACAAGATGATTCTACATACATGTACCTTTTATCTAACTTAAGTATAAGTTTAGTTAAACAATATTTACCTTTTCCCAAAAACTCATAGTCGTCTGTACATTTATCATATGTTTCTCCCGAAGTTGACACTTGCATTGCGTTTCTTCTGCCTTGATGTTGGAGAGCTCACTTACAAGGGTGAAAGATAGATCTCTCTCATTACAAATAATGTTTTGACATTTGTATCCTCTGTGGAATATTTTTGTGTCAATAAATGTTTCTGTCAATTTTTCTATGGCTTTTTCAATGGAGTCCCCAATTTCATTTGATACTTCTTTGTCTACAGTCAATGGTCTGATTCGCAACACTTGCAACTGAATATCATCATTACATATGCCAACAACAACAGTGTGTTCATTGTGATCAAACACTGCTGCTGTTTGATAAAGACATGGACATCCATCATTGTCTTCATCTTTTGCAACACTCCACCTAAGAGAACTTATGCAGTATGCTATCAGTCTGTAGAAAACAAACATGGCAAAGGAAGTGAATCTGAAGCACAAAATGGATGAGCATTCCCATTTATCTTCAAGGAAGTCAGCTTTAAACTGCTTTTTGTTCATACATGGGACATACCATGACATGCCATCTTCTGATACAGCTTCATCTGCATTCAAATGTACCAGCATTTGAAGTTTCTCCATGTATGGCATAATTTCACTTTTATGTTTCACGTAGGAGGGTTCATCTTTCCACAAAGCATCTATCACTTTATCTTTCAGTTCTCCTGTTTTGTTGAATGATTTCCATTCTTTGATTAATTTTCTTTTACAGTCCTTTGTGATGTGGTTTTCATCAGCAATAATCTTGCTGAAAGCATTAGCAAACCACTGAATGTCTAGTATAACATGCTCCCTCAATTCCACTTCTTCAAAATTCAAAAGAAGGCCACTGTCATGGAAACATTTTAAAAATTTGGTCATTTCGTCATCACCTTTGATTTGGTATTCATAAGGAAGAGATGAGTTTATCTTCCAGATTTCACTCAGGGACAAAACCTTCCAGCCTCCTTCATACAATAACTGCTCCATTAGAGCCCATGAAGAAGGCAATTCAACCTTTGTAGTGTTCTCATCTGTGAATAGTTCCACTATGGACTTTTTCATTGACTCTAGTATTTCCTTGGTATTATCATTAAGTGTCTTCAGACCTACTGCATATTCCCGATCATTCAGAGACTCACTTAACCAATCTCTGTCCTCGTCTGGTACAGCTTTCCAAAACTCTCCAAAATACTTTTCTATTTCCTGAAAAAGGAAACAATGTTAGCATGAAGATATTTTTATACTGATTGTGTGCTACGATTATAAAACTGTAATACTATATTATGTGTTAATAATTGAAAAACCTGGAATTACATGTTTTTCAGCAGTACAATTGCTACATATTAAAAGTTGTTTAAAAACAAAACTGTAAATTTGGTATCAATTGTTGTATATATTTTCACGTTGGATGTAAAGCAGACGAAAGGTAGTTTTTCTGAAAAAGTACTACATATCTACAGTTTTTTTTGTTTTCGAAATTCTTGCCTTTTTAAAACTATCGTATATTTTTCGATGCTAATTTAGTTATCTTAAAGACAAGTCTGTTGTTGACATCGTAAATGTACGTGGGTTGAACCAAAAGTAATATCACAGTGTCCATATCTTTTATATTTGGTGTCATATTATCAAATGCAATATACCAAAAGATGCACAATTATCACCTAAATATCACTGAAATTTTAATCTAATAATGATTATTTGCCTTCATTTTATATTTCATGTTGCTGATTAATACCAAACTATGCAGATTTCAAAGTATTAAATAATTTTCAGACTATTTTAACCCCCCCCCCCCCCCCAGCATGCTTACTTTGGTTACTTAATACCCAGAGAACCTCTCTCCCAGATGCCAGCCACATCTTTCAAAAATTTTATAAATTTTATTTCATTTTGTTGATTAATACCAGAATTTCAAAGTATTAAATAATTTTCAGCTTTTAACTACCTCTCTCCCAGATCATAAATATATATTTTTGGAAGATTTCATTGGCATAATATTGGCATAATACAAGAACAAAGGAAAACATTTCCAAAGAATTCATGCAAATTTCACTAAATAAACATTAGAACCCCACCCTATCACAAGAATCCCTGACCCAGGGTCTCTTAAATTCTGCCTTCTCATAAATATGCACATTGGTTAAATACCGGGGTGAAGAAAAAATGATTTTTAAAGAATTTATGCATTTTCATTAAATAATCAATAAAGCCCCACCCTAACAACAGAACCTCTAACCCAGGGGTCATGAAATTCACAATTTTGGAAGAGGCAGCCTTATTCAACATAACTACTTACTTCGTTAGTTTATTTAAGGCCAAAAAAAAATTATAGTCTTGTTTCCTGCTACCAGCCTGAAAAAAAGGGTAGGTAGGTAGGGAAATTATTTTATTTTTCTTTTTTCTTTTATTTTTTCAAACAGTGTTTCTTTGAATACGAATTTATACAAGAACAAATTAAAAATGCCATATAGGTCAATATTGCCTTTTTAAAATTAAATTTCATGTCTTTTGATGCACAACACAAGTGGTATTTTATGAAAGTCCATATTTTTATGAAATACCAATTGAATATATATTTTTTTCAGTTTTGGAACATGAAATTCCAAAAGTTCTTGATCCCCCCCACCTCCCCAATTGAGAAAAAATACTTGAGGGTCGGGTGCAAAAAAATGGGTAGGTCGGGTAGAAGGAAACAAATTATTTTTATTTTTGGCGTTATACTCTGGAGCAGAGAAGATTTTCAAAGAAATAAATTATTTTTACTATAGAATCTATGTAGTCAAACCCTAGCATTAGAGCCCCTGACCCTGACCCACAGAAAAGAGGAAGTTCGAGGAATTTTTCTATTTTCACTGTATAATCTATATAGCCCTTCCCTAGCACTAAAAGCCCTTGCCTTTGGGCAATAAAATTCACAATTTTGAAAGAGGCAGTCATTTTCAACTCAACTTTGCACTTGGTTAGTTTATTTAATGCCCAGGAGCAGGAAAGAGGAATTTCAAAGAAATAATGCATTTTCACTATATAACCTATTTAGCCCCGTCCTAGTACTAGAACCCCTGACCCTGGGGCCATGAATTTAATAATTTTGGTAGAGGACTCAATGCTGATTACTGCTGATTACAATCATACTAACAGTGGCTTGATGTCTAGGAGTAAAGAAGATTTTAGTGCTTTTTGCCTCACCCCATGGCCCCAGGGGGCAGGGACCATGAAATTCACAATATTTGTTCCCCTTCACCCATAGATGCGCTATGCCAAATTTGGGTTGAAATTGGTTCAGTGGTTTTAGAGAAGAAGCTGGAAATGTTTAAATGTTAACGCATGACACACGACGGATGACGACGGACGAAAACGGATAGCAATAGGTCACCTGATTTTACTCAGGTGACCTGAATATGCATATCAACTAATCAGTAACATTCAGCAATAATCAGAAGTGCCCCCACCACATATGAACCCCTGACCCTAGGTTCACACATTGCATAACAACTGTGAACGATAGTATTGTTCACCCGCCTACCTCCAAGTCAATTTTTAAAAGTTAACATATTCGATGGATTTTTAATATTTTTTATAGATAATTATATGGATTTTCATAAAACATTACTTCTTTGGGAAAACAAAGAGAGATAACTCTATAATTTTGGTAAAACTTTTTTTCACTATAGAAATCAACGGAAAACGGAAAATACTTTTAAAACATCTTAAAACATTTTATGGCCAAATTGCTATTTATATTTAACTACATGGCTCCAATATGTAGGTGGGAATCGAGAGTTAGCGTGCGTATTTCTTTTTAAAAAGGCACACTTGCTTATCAAAAAAGTTTGATTAATTTCAAGGAACTGATTTCAAATAATTCATTTCCAGTATATAAGTCGAACCCCCCCCCCCCCCCCCATGATATTTATAATCCAGGGGCCTGGAAATTCACAATCCTGGAAGAAGAGCCCTTGCACATCATAACTATATAGTTTATTTGCTTATTAAACAGGAGCAGAGAAGAAGATTTTCAAAGAATTAATGCATTTTCACTAAATGATCAATAGAGCACCATCCTAACAGCAGAACCCCTGACCCGGGGGCCCTAAAATTTACAATTTTGGAAGAGGACTCATGCTGATAACAATCATGCCAACAGTTTGACTGCTTGATGTCCAGGAGTAAAGAAGATTTTTAGAGATTGCACTAATTTAAGTGGTTTTGGCTCCACCCCCCAGACCCCAAGGGACAGGGACCATGAAATACACAATTTTTGTTCCCCTTCACCCAATGATGCTATATGCAACAAGAGGCCCAGGGGCCACAGCGCTCACCTGAGCACATCAGGCTTGAATTTATCCCCCCTCCAGGCGTTCATCATTTGAACAAATTAGAATCTACACTACCTGAGGATGATTAAATATAAATATCACTAATCATAGCTTTGCCCCAGGGGTCTTGATTTGAACAAACTTGAATCTACACTACCTGAGGATGATTCCACATGAGTTTCATCTTTCCGGGCCCACTGGTTTTGGAGAAGAAAATTTTTAAAGATTTTTCCTATATATTCCTATGTAAAACTCGTGTCGGCCATTTTGGCCCCACCCTTGCCCCAGGGGTCATGATTTGAACAAACTTGAATCTACACTACCTGAGGATGCTTCCACATGAGTTTCATCTTTCCTGGCCCAGTGGTTCTGGAGAAGAAGATTTTTTAAAAATGCCATTAATTTTTAACAAATTCATGATTATCTCCCCTTGGAAAAGGGCATGACCCTTCATTTGAATAAATTTGAATCCCCTTTACCTAAGGATACTCTCTGCCAAGTTTGGTTGAAATTGTCCCAGTAGTTCTTGAGAAGAAAATGAAAATGTGAAAAGTTTACAACGACGCCAACAATTAACGACAACGACGACAGACAACGGACAAATTTTGATCAGAAAAGCTCACTTGAGCCTTTGGCTCAGGTGAGCTAAAAATTGGTTGAAATTGGTTCAGAGATTTCAGAGAAGAAGCTGAAAATGTTCAAATGTTAACGAACGACGAAAAACCGATAGCAATGGGTAAACTAAGTTTACTCAGGTGACCTTAAAAGACACAATTCTCGTCATTTTCTAGTCTTTAATTGAAAATTTTAAAATTGATCCTAACCCTAACTCTAACCTTAAATGATGTCAATGGTATTTTTGATCATAAACAGTGATGTTTTACTTTGTTGAATTGAACAAAGGGATTATTGAAATGGGTAAAAACAGTTTGTTGAAATGGGGAAAAACAGTTCGACGAGTTGTAATGCATTTTTCCTTCAAAATATGGAAATCATCACAAGCGACAGTTACGTTTATTAATCAGACTTACAGAATAAAGAATGTTAATAAGAGACATTTTAATCGATGGTTTCAGCAATTTTGGGCAGGTAATTGGTTACTGAATGATTAGCAGAGGACATGAAGAGAGAAAGAGATCGGACGGAAACGTGTGGTGTCTGGTGTTGTCAAAAAGACAGATGTACTCATAAATATTCACATGTCTCATGTGAATAAGACAAACTTAAATATTCACATGTCACATGTGAATATTTTAGTTTGTCTTGTGCTTCTGTTAAAAAAAATGACAGAGGGCTTAATTATGAAAAGAGTGAGTGTATAATGGTACCAAAAATTCTTAAAGCTGACATGAATTCTTAAAAACGCAACATTATCATCTATGTACGACTTGTTTCATAGCCGTATTCCGCCATATTTCTCTTAGATGCCTTGTCTCATTGAAACGATGTATACCCAATGCGCTCGTTACAGTTCATTGATTTTTTGGTTTGGGTATCGACTTGTTCTCCGATGGTAAAGCATATGAGAACACATAAGGAAATCAAAACATTTCAAAACCACAATAAACAAAATAATAATCATTATGCATATTTCTGAATAATTATTGATTTGAATCAAAAGAAAAAAAATGCAAGTTTGGTGAGAAATTTAGATGTACGAGTACGTATTTTTACAGTGCGCCAATTTATGCAGAATAAACTTGAAATAAAAAGCAGTAAAATCTGCAACACATTTTGAAATTATTATCATTTGAATGACGCAAAACAACCAACGTCTTTGATTTGCAGACCCTATACAACTGGTGCATATCGAGAAAACGCCTCGAACGCTGTAAACGTACCCATACCTGGTAATAAGGTTACTGCATCGGTTCGAAGATGTGCACA